AAGAACAACTCCCTTTTTCCAGCAAGAGAGATGTCTTGCTGTCTTGTTCCCCCAAACGATTCCATTGGATTACATAAAATTTCCATTAACTTTAAACGCTGCGATAAGAAGACAAAAGCAAGCTATTTGTATGTGTTTATGTACAGAATTTAGAAGTAGTTGTAAAATGTAATATACTATCATAGATTTATTTAAAAGCGTTAATATTTTTTTAATGGATTTCGTTTATTATTTGTTGTGTAGTTTGAATTAAATTGAAATAAATTACTTTACGAATGTAAGTCCTTCCGAAAAATGCCCTAAAAATGTACGATAATAGCTACTACGGCCATCCCAAAAATTCACTTCCGAAAATTTCCCTAAAAATATACGATAATAGCTACTGCGGCCATTCCATAATATCCTTTAAAATTTACGGCTATAACTTAAAATTGGTCTTTTTGAACATTTCCCATAAAAAACTTTGTACTTCCTTCAAAATTTTTCTTAAAATATCAACTATTAGCTTTACCGTCCATTCAAACATTTTCATAAAAATTCACGACTACATATTTACAAAACCGCTTTCAAATCTCAAACCTACACACCAACAGTTATTCTAATGGCAAATTTTAGATGTTCACCGTATAGGGTGAATACATTTAGTACCATTTATTACTTTTCGTATACTTGTAGTATACATTTACTAAGGCAGATCTTCGATTTTCCAAAAACCTTTTGGTTCATATATCCTACGCATCGAAGAACACCATTCAAAAAATTCAGATTTCCCACATTATCCTTTCCTCAAATAATAAATTAAAAACCATTTAATAATTTTCGTAAGTTTTTCCGAAATCCAACACCAAATAAGTCCCACTGCATTTCCAAAAGTATTCCTTCCTAAAATTCCAAATTGAATACAAATTAGTACTTTTCGTACGTTCCACTTGCAAATCTTAACCATACACTGCACCTGTGACCTTTACCCAATACCAAATTTAGTACTTTTCGTTCACTTTTTATTTCAACTCCACCTACCAGTACTTTTAGTACACCTAAAGTTCGAATTTCCAAAATTTCATGCAAAAGTTCTAACTTCAGCAGATTCGCCTGTGTGTTGATGAATCACTCACTCACTGAAATTTTTTCAAAATACATGAGACCGGTGTTTACCAAAATAGCTGTAATTCATGAACTTAAAAAGAGACGATTTATACATAAAAACCATAGTATTGTCGTCTCATTTCATATAAAGTTTGCGAAAACAAAAATGATTCACGCATGCCAGAGAACATCAATTATTAACACAATGCAACTTATTATACCCCAGAGTATATTATACCCCAGAGTATACGTAAAAAACGTGCTTTATCGAAATACCATTTTTGGATCCTAGTTTCTTTGGACAAAATCAGCTTCAAAACATTTTAACTCAATCTAGCGGTATCCGTCCAACAGCCTATCTGTCTGGCTGGTACGCACCATAACTCTCGAATGGAGTTTCCGATGGACTAAACTTGGTTTTTCGTAATTTCAACATCGAGTTCGAAGATGAGCAATATCGTCCACTCCTGGTACGTCCCCACACAAAAAGTAAATTTTTTTAAGAAAATCATTTAAAACAGACTTTACAAATTCTAATATTTGTATCAAGGCTGCCAGGTGCGAAAATAGTCATCATCTATGCACTTCTTCCAGTACCTACCTCACAATGGGAAAACAATTTTACATAAAATAATTTTACTTATATAAAAAGACAGGGCATTCGATATTGATCAAATGCTAATTATCATGTCCTCTCAACGAGTCAAAATTTTGAATAAACACAACGCTTATAAAATATGAAAGAAGAGTCCGATTGTATTCAAATGCTGCATATCTCAAGATTTCTATTTACTCTAGCGGTAGCAGATGGTTTAGGTCAGACCACTCCTTCTTGTACCTTCCCTACAAATAGTCAGAATTTAGATTAATCATAACTCTTTGAAAAAGCTAAATGATCATTCGAGATCAAAATCTGTTATGAATATGGTATTTATCACCATCACCCTGTGCAGCAGAATACCATTTGGAATGGTAGCATATTGAATTGTCCTTTTTTATAGCCTCAGTCATATGGCTAGAGAGGGTATAAATCATTTGAAATAAAGTTTATGCACTCTAGGTCTCTTTGTACCAAATCCGTTTCAGGACATTTCCTTCGGAACCTCTCCTATGAAGGGTCAACTGTTCCAATAATCATAACGCAAGTCAATATATATTTAAACAAGTTAGAAAATATCAGCCGGTTTTCCCTACAGATGTATACCCTTAGACAATGTTCAAATTTGTAAATATATTTTGAATTCTGTTATGATTATTCAAATAGTTGACCCTCTATGGAGTAGGTTCCGAAGGAATGGGCTAATATTGTACATTTTATATCGGAACTAAATAAATATGATATAAATATTGCGATGTGCCAGGTTTGGACTAGATCAATTGATTCCTTCACTTTGTATGAGATTTCAATATCTTGAACCCCATGTGGGGTAGGAACCATAAGAAATGGTCCGGTCTCTACCATCTTTATAATAGATCTTGTGTTGATGGAAATATTGAAAAGTACCAAGTTTCAATGAAATCGGATATTAATATCGCGTTTTATGAGCTTCTGAATATTCATAACGTTGACCCTTTTTGGGGGAGGTGCCAGAAGGAGTGGACCGATATATCCCATTTTCACAGCAGATCTTAAGTTAGTAGAAATAATAGGACGTGTGAAATATGAAGAGAACCGGAAGCTCATTTCGGGTTTTATAATTGTTTTGTTTATTCAAAACTTTGTTCCTTGAGTGGACCGATATTGTTCATTTTAGCACCTGACTTAGAACTGATGCAAATATTACGATTTGCATATTTGTAGCAAAATCGAATCATCCTTTCTTTTTCTGTGCAATAAAATATTTTCTTTGAAAATTTCGACCTTTTGTTTGATAAGTATCAGAAGGAGTGGACTGGTATATTCCATCTTAACATCAGACCTTAGCTTAATATAAATATTGGGATGTGTGAAAATTTAAGAGAATCGGGCTCTTACATCACATTTTATAAGAGTTCTAATCATTTAAAATTTTGACCTATTGTGGGGAGGTACTTGATGGAGTGGTTCGATAATGTTCCGCACCTGACCTAGCAGTGATGCAAATATTATGATTTGCAAAGTTGGGGCCAAATCTGTGCAAAAAAATATTTTTTGAACATTTCGACCTTTTATGGGGGAGGTTCCAGAAGAAGTGAACTAATATGTTCCGTCTTAATACCAGATCTAGTGTCATAAAACTAGTAGGATGTGTGAAATTTTAAGATAATCGTACTCTTGTATCATATTTTATAAAAATTTGAATTATTCAAAATTTTGACCCTTTGTGGGGGAGGTACTTGATGGAGTGAACCGATATTGTCCATTTTCGTACCTGACGTAGCAATGATGCAAATATTAGGATTTGTAAAGTTGGAGCAAAATCGTACTGTCCTTTCTCTTTCTGTGAAAAATAGCTTTTTTGAACATTTCGACTTTTTATGGGGGAAGTTCCAGAAGGAGTGGACCGACATTACTCATCTCCAAACCCGATGTAATTTTGATAATAATATTACGATGTACCAAGTTTGGACCAAATCAGATACTCGAAAGTTATCGTTCTTACCAGCCAGACGAACAGACTGACACCTCTAGATCGACTCAAAATGTCCGAAATGAATTTGGTCCAAAAAGACCTAGGGTCTAAAACCGTTATTTCGATGAGTTTTGGCCTTATCAAATGATATATACCCTCTCATATGAGGGTATAAAAAAAGTTAGTGCCAGTTTCTTTTGCCGATAGATCTATAACCTCAGCCAATATTCGATTATTTATATATTTTGACTTCTGTTGTGATTATTCAAATTTTGTGCCTCTATGATGTAGATTCCGAAGGAATGGTCCAACATATCGGTATCTCCCCATAAAGGGTCAACATTTTGAATATTCATGAAGCTCATAAAACACAAAATCAACATCCGATTCCGTTCAGACTTGACACATTTCAATATTTCTATCAACGCAAAATAGGTTACAAAGATGGTACAGATCGGACGATTTAGCAGTAGATTTAGTTTGAAAACCTGATATATCCAATCTTTGTGGAACCACCCTTTATTGCAGAGCACCATTTCGAATTGTAACATATTTCATTTTACTTTGTAAATTCCATTTTATTTAAAAAATAATAAATATAATTATTTTAAACAAAAATAATTGTAGATATATAAATCTCTAATTTCTCCCAACTTCTGATATTATATTCTTTTATTTATATCTGTAGTAAAATTCATTGCTAGCAAAAAATAGTTATATACTCAAAAATAAATACTACCCAACAAACAAAAATAACGTAACAATAAAATAAAACCTAAGCGCAAATCATACCCATTTCGAAAATTTCATTTCTATTAACTTTATTTCTATATTTGTTATTATTTTTATTATTTTTGAAATGTAATTTCATTCAGTAGTTGATTGCATTTTCTGTTTATATCTGCAATATCCCAAGAACGAGAACTTGGATCCAAGGCATCTATTTTTCCGTGCTATGTAGTAGATATTTTTCGCTCTGTCTCTCTCTCACTCTCTCATCCCACAACTCATTCAAGTCTTGTTTGTATGAACTTCTTGTACAAAAAAAAGCCAATAAAATAAGTTATATTAGTATTAATAGCGAAATGTGTAAAATTATGCTGCCATACAGCTGTTGGTCGTATCGTGTCGTGTCGTGTCATGTCTATCTGTCTATACATCTATCCAATAATAATAATATTATTATTACTGTATTTTCATCCTTATACAACATAAATAAAATATAAAAAAAAAGAAAATAAATCATTCCATGCCTAGAGAGAGTGTGTTAAACTTACCTTCATCGCAATCTATTGCAATAACTATAACTAACTTTTGTCCTTTTTTCTTGTTGTTGTTTTTCTTTCTTTCCTTTTTTTACAGTCCTGCTGTCCGTACAAGCTCATAAATTGTCGTGTCAGCGCTGGCGGCGAAATGCCACCGTTTGTTAATTCCACAGCTTCATCGGAGATCCACATGAATATACTGCGGGCACGTCAGTACGCCACCTCGGCCTCATCGCATCAACTGCAGACATTATATCAAAATTAAAGATGTGAGCGAGAATAGCAACAGCAACAATATTTACAACAACAACAACTAGAGAAGAAAATGGAAAAAGTAAAGAAAACTCATACGGAACCTAGTTACTGTACTTCCCCACCACCATCTTCTCATCATCCCCCTGTTGCTGGCTGCTGCAAGTAGGTAGGTAGTAGATAAACGAATTTGCCGTTAAACGAATCGCAAGTTAAGACGTCACAAATAATCCTCAAAACACAACGGGCATATCACTCAAAAAGCCAAGAACAAAAACAGCAGAACGGACATCTTCCATCTATCATCCGAACAATTGAGACAGAAAAGTGTATTTCCACCATAATCTTAAGCTTAAAACAAAAACAGAAAAACCTACCGCATACAAACACACGAACCTAAGCTCCATTGGATGGCCTGAAGCCATTTCCTAGTGCACTTTTGTGTACTTTTTTGGACAAACCATCATCAGACCACTGGGACACCATCATACACCAACACACTCCCACACACACAAACGGAAAACTTCTAAGGTATGGTAGTCACAAAGAAAACAAACCAAAGAATTCTGAAACATAAACAATAAATACACAAATAGTCAAAGTTAATAAGTTGTAGTTCAACTTCAATAAAACAAAAGAACAGTTGTGTGGCATGAAATAGCAAAGTTATAAAAACAGAAAAAAATGCGAATTACGTTCGGCCGGACCGAACTTTTAATACCCTCTACCATTTGGAAGAAATTTGCAATTTCAAGCTGATCTAGGATATATATACATTGTGGAGTTTAAAATGGATTTTTGGAGGAGTTACAAACGGGATGACAAGCCTAATATACAGGGTGAGATAAAAAAACTGTAACAAAGTCAAACGCCATAATTTTTACATTTTTTTTTTTTTTAATTTTATTGAATGAAAGCAAAACATTTTGGACATAGCTTTAAATCTTGGAATAAGTATTGATTTGTTCGAATTGGTAACCCTTGGCACGAATTATGCCCTTCAAACGGCCAATGAAACCGTCACACGCTGCCCGAATGTTGCTCTGCGGTATTTTAAGGTGATCGACACTTTGGAATTTTTAGTGCCAACCTTGCTTTCCAGAGATTTTGTTGGCCATTGGACGCTGGAAATGAAGCGAGGAATCTCATTTTGTAACCATTCTTGGGTGGTGCGTGCTGAATGTGATGGTTCTGAGTCCTCTTGGAATGTCCAAGGTCTGCAACCAAAATGTTTGCGTGCCCAAGACTTAATGCACCCTACAGAATATGTTCGCGATAATATTCGGCATTTTTTCTGATGCCATGGCCGATTAATACGAACGGAGAGCGACCATCGGCTTTAATGGCGGCACACACCATCACCATGGCCGGCGCTTGAGTTCTGGTGGCCAATCGAAGATGCACATTTTCAGCTGACCTCTTTGGCAAGTAAAAACGATCATTTTGTTTGTTTACAAAGTGCTGGACAATGCATGTTTAGTCGTCGAAGAAAACCGAATTTGGCAGTTCACCACTTACGGCCAAGCGAGCCAACTCTGAGTCTATTTTCTTTCTGTTGCGGTGTAAGTTCTTGCACTCCTTGGAATTTCAATGGAATTTACCACGAGCTCATTTTTCACTATTTGCCGAATGGAATATTGCGATATGTTCAGTTCACGAGCCATTTTCCGGCCACTGCGACGCGGGTTTCGATCAAGTCGTTTCTTTACTTTTCAAATCATTTCTGCTGATGTTGCTGTTTTCTTCCGTCCACTTCCTTGACGCTACCAGTATCACGGTAACAAACAATGGTACGAAACGCAAAAGATTTATTCACATTTAAATGCTGGAGTGCTCTAACGATAGCCACTTGTGGTTTTTCAGCCAAATATAAAAAAATCATACTATCACGCTTGAATTCCATCACGAATAACTTTTTTTCTAGAAAATTCTCACCAAAATGCTTTTATACGTTTGTAAACAATATAATGAGCTGTCACCGGAATAATTTTAACAGCTGTCGGACGAGTGGCTTTGAAATGACAGCAGCCAGTTTGCCTTGTGTGGTTTCAATTGGATATTGCGAGGAGTTACAAAGGGGATGACAAACCTAATATATGACCCACTATTATATAAATCCGAAATATAGAAAACCGAAGTTCGTGGATCTGGAATCATGTTCTTATAAAAAATACTCTTAAAATCCACGATCCAGGATCTAAAAATATGTTTAAAATCCTAGATCTAAAGTCCCTCCAAAAAATTTTGTTAAAACCTACGAACCAAGATCTGAATCCCCTCTAAAAGTATTTTTAAAAATCATAAAATTTTCTTGTTCAAAACCATCCAAAAATATTCTTTAATATTACATAACAGTGGGTTTGAAGTCACTTCGAAAATATTGTTAGAATCTACGGTCAAAGGTCGGAAGATTCTCTTGCAACGGTGGAAGTTCTGCTGCGAGATGATACACACAATGAGTGGGGGTTGATTTTAATAAGGTCAAGAGATTTTTTCAAAAAAAGAGTTTGCTGTGGTTTGGAACCTTGTTAACGACTTTTTGTCCGCCCTTGCTAAAGTCCGACCTGCTTGTACTGGAAGGAATGTGGACTACAATAAAAATTAAGTTTTCTTGAGATTCAAGGTGCAAATGCCAGCTACATCCCATGAAGAGTTTAATTTTATGAGCGTAAAAGAAATGCCTTTTTAACATATATGCCAAAACCTTCATAGCCGTTCTGTGGGGCCTTCCTGGTCTCATTATTAGAAATAATGTCCACATAAACCAAATAAAGGGTCAGTATGGGAATCATAATATCTATATTTTTTATTCATATTTCCTTCTTGAAAGCGCCTTGAAAGTTCAATGGGCGATCTAAATTCGAATCAGTCATAGACACCACATTCGAAAAAATATCCGTCTTGTGAATCTTTACATCTTTATTAATTTGGGGTTTTTCTAGCGCAGGGCCTCTCTTAGCGGCACCTCTTGGTGACGAGGGTCTCCAGGATCACCGGGCATTTCACAAAGAACCAATGGCTATTTACGATTTAGAAAACGGCAGAAAGTCCTCAAAAAAAACCAACAAATTCCAGAAATTTCCAAAAAAATTGGTATGCACAAAAAAACGACCAATGGTCGAGAAACTTCCAAAAAATTATGTATACTCTCGGGAACAGCAATACGTAGCAGGTATTAATAAGTCTATTTTATGGCAGGACCAAACTTATGGCTTGTACATACCGCAATTGTTTATTATTTGTGTGTAATTGATTTTGAAAATTAAAATTGAAATCCAAAGTCGACAAAAGTTGGTCCCACCTTTGTAACACCGAAAATCGATAAATCTAACATCGACTTGAGTATCCTTGAAAAGGCTCCTGATAAATTAGATTGTCGATAATATGTGTCGTTTTGATATATGCCGGAACGTAATTATAATATTTAGCAATTCAAAATAATTTTCAACTTAAATTTCAATCACTTCTGGAGTATGTGTTCTCCGAGATGCAATTCCTTCTTACATAAAACGATGATAAATATTTTTGCTTAATAAATGTTCGAAAAAAACTATAGTGCTCGGCTGGTCCGAAAACAGGTTTTGTTTAAAGCTTCTCAAAACCTCTTAAAGTCTACACTTTGGCAGGTCCAAAACTAAGACTTGTACCCGTTGCAGTATCAGGAAAGGCGATCCCCAACATTCATGGAGTTTAAAAATATATTTACCACCCGGGATAAGAAGGACCACAAGAACGTGATTTTCTTAAAAAAAACTGTTAAACCTAGATATATGATTTATTTTGAGATTTATAGTCTAAAATGAATTGTTACCTAACGTTTATATGTCAATTCGAAAAACGGTCAAGGAAAATTTTTTCACTTATTATTTTTGCGTTTTCGTTTGCAAACATTAATGAAAATATTTTTTTTTTTTTTGATATATAATTAAAATAAAAATAATTCTTCTTTCTATAAATAATTCTTTTAGTCATTGACATCATCCTTCCAAAATGATGTTATACAGCATAATTTTGCATTAACTCACATTAAGTATGACTTTAAACCTAAAATGTATTTTTAATATTTTTTATAATTATGTATTCCTGGGGTTTATTACCTAGACTTTTGATATATTCTGGAACTAGCAGTAGAATTTTACTATTTTTAAGGTTCAATTTATTCATACTATATCATGTTTCATCATTTAAAATAGAGGAATAACATCATTATTTTGCCCAAAAGATTTGGTGATCCATCGGCTGGTCCGATAACAAAATATTTATATTTACCAAGTCAAATTTTGGCTGGACCAAATTAAAGATTTGCGTAAATGGTATTTATGTGACGATCCTGTTTTCCTGTTTTTGCTTCAAATAGAACTTTTGATCTAGTTTTATGCCGAAATGTCAATTTAAAAATACTATGTTTAGAGCCTAGTGCAAAAAATTATTTTTTTTTTCTAAAAATATTTTAAATTCGTATTTTTGGACGATTTATAGTTACAAAAAAAACTATATCTTGGTTTATTAGTTTTAAAGACAATTACTATTATTTCAAAATTATGTGCCAACGTTTTTAGTGCTAATTTAACATGTTATCATTATAAACTCCGATGTTTTTTTGCTGTAATTTAAAAAAAAAATGAAAAACTTTGATTCTTCTTGTGGATTATAATACCCTACAACACTATGTGTTGGGGGTCTTATAAGTTTGATTGGGCCAAAAATTATGTAACACCTCGAAATATTGGTTTCCCACATAGGAAAGTATATATGGATCTTCCTATCTCGCCGAGCTGAGTCGATCTAGCTATGTATGTCCGTTGATCCGTCTGTCCATGTTAGTTTGTAATCACTCCACAGGTCACAATTATGGCCCGATCTTCACGACATTAAGAATGGAGTTAGGGATAGGGCCAGAATAGAACCCTATTTCTTTTGGAGATTATCGCATAATATCTAGGGGTTAAAATGGACCAAAAACTGAAAAATTTCCTAATCTTGCAGCTGCTCTACAGGTCGCAATTATAGACCAATCGGAGCGGAAGTTGGCATGGTTCTAGAGTTTACGGCTGGGCAGAAGCTTTCCAATTTTGATGGTTATCGGATAATATTTAGTGGGTGAAATAGGCCATAACATTTGTGTTAATAAATGTCAAGTTTTCCATTAAACCGTCTTGAAATAGACGAACAGGTCAATCCCGACCGTTACGTAGATGTCAATAGTAAATATATCGGATATATATAGCCAAATATACACAATACTTATATACAAAGGAATACGATGTTAGCTAAAATGCTTATATCTCAAGAATGGCTGGACCTATTTTGACAAATTTTGCCAATTCAGAATGCCCTAAAAATCTAAAAAATATAAAAAGATGCCAATACGATGATAATACAGATTTTGTAGTATTGTTTGACTTTTTTTATTTTTTCATATTTTTTATCGCATGCGATTTTTTCAATATGACTTATAATATTGAAGTGTAATACACTGTAATATTTTTTCAGCTTACAACACAGGTTGGGGTTATTATATACAGATAGCAATTATCGTCCGATCCTCATGAAAATGTTCATAAGGGTAGGGTTAGGCACTGGAGGGCAAGGCCTATTGTTTTTAAATCACACAATTCAAACCAATCAACACGAAATTTTGCATGATAATAGAGTTAAGGACAGGGAAGAATTCTAGCATTTTGGATGACCATTGGATTCTATTTAGCTGTAAAATGGAGCACAACAACTAACAGCACGACGAAGTGCATAAATATTGCGCAAATGTCCCTGGTCAAAATGCTAAGGTAATATCTGGGCAGTGTTCCGTGACATAATTTCAAAAGCGAAATCTTCCAAAATGGATTTGGACATAAAGGGGGTTCTAAAATATTATAGTGTTGTAGGGTATCACATGGTCGGCCCCCGACTATAGCCTTTACTTACTTGTTTTTATTTTGTCTTTTAGTTTTTTTACATCAACTTGATAATATGATGTCATGTAAATGGCTGCCGCCACAGTTTATTGTCATTTGAGCCCTTTTTATGGCATTTTCCATCACTTTGGCCAAAACTTCCGACGATAGGTCCTCACATTCTTGACGCACATTGTCTGAAAGAGCCTGAGGCTCTTGAGCTGTCATATCAGGCGATCTTGCTGGCCACTGTAAATCGTCAAAACGGGACATTAGGCGCCCGGGAAATCATCCATCAGCATATATATACAAAAATTCGGTGTAAAGTCCGTTGACTGATACCTACAGGGTGAGATTAAAAATCTGCAACAAAATCAAACGCCATAATTTTTACATTTTTATTTTAAATTTTATTGTATGAAAGCAAAAATGTCGGAAATGGCATCAAATTTTAGATTCTTGGGTGGCGCGTGCTGAGTCCTGTTGTAATGTCCAAGATCTGCGGCCAAATTGTTTGCGTGCCCAAGGTTTTAATACTCCATCCAGAATATTTTCGCGATAATATTCGACATTTGCGAAGGTGTTGTTGTGGGCGGTTTTTATAATTTTTCCCTTTCTACCAACAGACCATTCCGATTTTTTTACTTTTCAGCCATATTTTCCATATTTGCGTATTTCTTAATACCAAAAATCTGAAGGTAACTATGCATGGGGGATTATAACTTTTTAG